TTAGGTCACTCATGTGATTTTATAGGATGAATCTTCTACGATCTTATCACAAGATGAGCTAAATAATTGTTTATATCCTTTTACCTATTAGTAATATCGACCGAGTATTGACTTCCAAATTACGTCGGTTTTATTCTTCACTGGGAAAAAGGCAACCCTTGGAGGTAAATATAGCTTTTTTAAATTGGTCATGAAAAATTCTTGATCAAGTGGTAAAAACAGGATCGGGAACCATATAAAGCAATAGGAAATATTCCTTTATTCATCTTCTTTCGTCAATGTATAATGATAACATTCAGTACAATGAAAATATCCAATGAAAAAATCACACCTCCACGTCATTTGTTGAAAAAAGGTAACAAATGTTTGAACATGTATAAAATATATATAAATTTCTCACAATAACTCTAAGAATACAATGTGCTATTATATAGTAATGACAAACAAAAAACAAGTATATAAGTGTGGTAACTCTTAAACGCCCTGTAGGTCCAGCTGTGGCAGCAAAAGTGAAACAGGCCCAAGTATCAGCTTGAAAATTCTCATGCAAGAAATCGTACCACACTTTGCTAAAGCCTACTCAGATGAATTTAAGACTGAAACTTCAATATCTATGGGAACGACTATCCCAGGAGCTCGAATGGACAATGGACGACTTATATAAAGCAAATTTTGCAATTTATATAAAAAGGTTCCAAAGTCTTGCTTACAGACTGAGTCACGATGATCTTTGATTAACATTTCCACCAAAAAATACCCAATTCTGTTGGAACGCTTGCCTGCGCGGAAATACCGCCAGCGAATCTTGCTTACAAAAGGCGGGTAGATACTTTACCAAGTAGGTCTTAAATAGTAAATAGTTATCCTATTGGACCAAAAAAATAATGGAATTCTTAAACTTCAATTTAAAATGTATTGTGGAACCATCTACAAGAGGAAGCTTTTCCTAATTCCACTAACCTTAGGCAGTCCAAAAATCGTATTAACAAAATTTCTTTGGGATCGTCATAGCAGCCGCGGTGTTCCGGCATTTAGGCTTCTGCCTGCGCGGCTGCTTCGATATAAAAAAACAAGACGGTGCCACAAGCCCCACAGCCACACAATCGATATACTGAAATCAACATTCGATGAACGTGTTATACTCTGGGCGCTGAAGAAAGACATTAAACGTAAACAGTGATCAGCACGTGAACAGATCCCTCGAAAGCATCCACGGATATACTCCAGTCACTTTAGGTCTAAACATCCTCGGCAGTGTATTTCTAGTGAATCCACAGACCCTTTTTCGTGTCATCTTGAGACTAGAAAAAGGATGACTGTTAAAATAAGTTACCTTGATCTTTCATGAGCTCCCAGTACAAAACATCATCGATATATTTTTGATGTAGGAACAACAAATTGGCTTAGAAAACATCCACTTTGAACCTAAATTGACTGGAGTAACATCGATCTACAGACAAATTCAAGGTCACTAGCAGTCGTCGGCGCTCTACGAATCTGCACAGGTTTGGACTTGTAAACGTGATTGTAGATGACACGACAGGCATCTGACAGTTAATTCACGCACAGGATTGCATTGCATACGCATTACGCATTCAGTAGCGTATACTCGTTTTTCGCGAGTGGAACGTTTTGTTTATATATTGCCTAAGATACGATGTCTGACACAGATACAGCCGACGAAGTGGTTGACATCAGCGCAACCCCACCCAAAAAAAGGGCTAAGAAGCTACATTTAAGTGCAAATGAAAAACAAATAATATTAAATATATACAAAAACCAAATTCAAGAAAAACCCGATTTGGTCGTGGACGAAGTTATATGTAAGGTAGCACTTATTTCTGGAGTATGTCGGTCCAGTGTTTATAGGATCATTAAGGAATATAGGAGCACTCACTCACTTTCTGAGCCAAAACCGTATCCTGCAAGAAAAAGGATAACGGACGGAGTAGATGACTTTGACAGAACTGCCATCAGGAGGAAAGTGCATAATTTTTTCTTCCGAAATGAGATACCTACAGTAGATAAGATACTAAGATTAGTTAATGCTGATGAGGATCTTCCATCATTTAAAAGAACCACATTCCGAAAACTTTTGAAGGAACTTAATTTTCGATTCTTGAAACGGGGAAGAAACAGTATGTTAATAGAGAAAGAAGAAATTGTTGTGTGGAGAAGGGAATACCTTAGGAAGATTCGGAAGTTTCGCGATGAAAAAAGAAAAATTTACTATTTGGACGAAACGTGGGTGAATGCTGGACATACTCAAGCGAAAGTTTGGGTCGACAAATCAGTAACATCATCAAGGCAGGCTTTTCTAGACGGTCTTTCGGCTGGATTGAAAAATCCTGCAGGTAAGCTCCTTCATCTATCCGGCAATTTAATTTTGATAAATTCGGGCAAATAATATGCTGTGATAGCAGATAATTTGTGATATTCTCCAAAAATGGTGCATTCGCAGTGTAGTCATTAGAAAAAAAACTTCGACCCTCTTTTAAGCGTTATTTTGAAATTTATTATCATTTTTGGGTGCAGTCAATTTGCTTTGAATGGGTTTCAATTTCCTACGTTTTTCAGTTTTTGATCAGCATTCCGTGACTCTTAAATTCAGCTAAATGAACTCAATTGCCTCATTCCTTCAAATTTAATCAATCCATAGTGTAAGGAATAATTTATTTCCAGGAAAAGGCAAACGGCTGATCATTTGTCACGTAGGTAGTGAAGACGGCTTTGTTCCCGAAGCACTGTGGGCCTTTGAATCAAAAAAGACAGGGGACTATCATGAGGAGATGGACGGCAATTCCTTTGAAAATTGGTTCTCCAAAATGTTACTAAAGCTGGAGAATAACGCTGTTATTGTACTGGATAATGCCCCGTACCATTCTAGAAAAATAGAAAAAATTCCCATAATGGCAACTAAAAAAGCAAACATACAACAATGGCTGGCCTCAAAACAGATCGATTTTGATGAAACAATGGTCAAGGGTGAATTGATAAGTATAGTCAATAGACATAAATACAAATACGATTTTAAAATGATCGACGAAATGGCCAAAAAACAAAATAAAACTGTCTTGAGACTGCCACCCTACCATTGTGAGCTGAACCCTATTGAGCTGATTTGGGCCAACATAAAGCAATACGTGGCGTCGAATAATAATACTTATAAATTTTCTGATGTTAAAAATCTCTTTCACATCGCAGTCAATAGAGTTACGGCAGAGGAATGGAAAAACTGTATCCGCCACGTTCGGGAGAAGGTTGAGGTCAAAATGTGGGATTTGGACAATGTCATCGATACCCAAATTGAACCTCTAATAATTCATTTAAACGATTCAGAAGATTCAAGTTCCTCTTCTGAATGAGTGCGCGCAGCTTACTTACTAATAACTAAAAAGTGTAGTTAACTCATTTGTGAATCTCTAACTGAAATTTACTGTAATTATCTTGTAGTATGAAATTTTTGATGACTACCCATAATATCTTGATGCGGTCCTGTAATGTCTCCTGCGCCTAAACACTCACTCACGAGCAATATGCGTGTATTTGTTTGGGTTTAGTTTCTTTCTTCAGCGCCTAGAGAATATATCGAAAAATGGTCCTGTCGAATGGCCGCCTAGATCGTGTGATTTAACACCTCTAGACTTTTTTGTGAGGCTACATTTAATCATTGGTCTATGCTAGCAAGCCAGCGTCGTTAGAGGAGCGAGAGATAGCGGTCGTTTCTGTCGAAATGTGTGCCCTAGTCATTGAAAACGAATAAATCGCTGCGTGGTGGACATATGAACGAGGTCGAATTCCATACATAAATGTTTTGAGTATACTTCAAGCCAATAATAAAATTTTCGAGATATCTTAAATGGTTTGCGTTTTATTTAAAAAGAATGTTGTCAAGTCTTCAACGGAAAACCATTGACTTGTATCTGCTGAGTATATGCTTCAAACTTCAGTGCTGCCATCTATCGATTGCTACAGGAGGGCGAGAGGCGACTTTCTTTGAAAGGTTGATGCCATGTTTAAGATTAATCAATCTTATTTAACCGGAGAATGGATGTTTGTAACACTTCTAAGGAAATTACTGTGGCCCTACTTGGCAACATTATTGTGACGACGGGAATTCAAGGACAACGTCCAAATACAGCATATATTTGGGCATCTTCTCGGGAAATACTTTAACCAATACTGTGATGGTGCTCCTGCAGGACTTCAGATTCAAGATAACAGATATTCTCCTAGCGTCAAATGAATCTGCGCGCTCCATAATAATCAATAAACCATGAGCGTTGGGTTTTTCCTAAAGCAGCTCATTCGAGCACAATATCTGAACCTACTCGCAAACAGAACAACATTTAAATTCAGCTTATCAAGAAACGCTTCCAATTGGCACGTCCAAAACTGATATAAAGCTTTAAAACGAACTCGCATATTCATATGTCGAACAGTGTACTCTGCTTTAAACGATTGAAACATCTGAAGGAAAGCTGAATTTCTATACAGGGTGACTTTGAAGTTGAGTCATTAATTTTCAGATAATGATTGTAGAAGGAAGATAAACCAAAATATGTGTGTAAAAATAAAAAAAAATTAAAAAAAAAATGTTACCTTGTTTTATAAAGTATCCTCCCGACAAGTATTTCAGTGCGGACCTGTATTTGATGCCGCGTAAATAAGAATCATGTCCACAAGTTCAGCATTTTCGTAAACATTTTTGATTTCGTTTGAGCCACGCAACAGATACCACTATTCACTCACGCGTTACCGACTGACACTGACTGTATACAACTGAATAATATAATTGTAAAAACATCGTTCCAAATTCTTTCGCTTTTTTGTTTCCGATGCGATGAACCGATAAGGCGGATTATATCCGTTGTTGCCAAACACGAGCACATAATATTATTATTGAGACAGGGCGGTACTCAAACTTCCAAATGGCTATAACTTTGTTACTTTAATTTTACCAGAAAAATGGTAAAGGAAAAAAACATTTCTTTTGATCAGACCTACTCACTGTTAAAATAAATGACTCAACTTCGAAGTCACCCTGTATAGGTTGTATCGCAACATTCCTTTAAATTTAATACTAGCTCTTCTAGCATTTAATCCACGATTTATGAATCTTAAGATCTTTTTAACACAGCCACAAATGTAACAAGATGATGATTCCATTTTTTTACCACACATAACCTTAAGGGGAAGGACTTGTACAAACTGCAAGCGCTGTGGACTCTAACGTACCCAAGGGTCAACCAGTTAAAATTTAGAGAAGTGGAATTAAAAATTAGTAACGAATGCATGACGGCTGTTCCTAATTAATGTAAGCTTTACATCCCGGCTCTAGAATAGTTACTTTCTCACAATTGGACTTCTTTTAATTGATTATACCTGTGCTAGAGCTGTCAAAATAAGACATGCATAAGCAGAAGACACTGTCGAAAAATTTCCTATAAAACGCTGTAGACTGTTTAGAAAATCGATACTGCGATGGCGATAGTTTTTCGTCTTTCTCGACGGAAATCATTTAAGTCTTTGGGTAACATTAGCTAAAGCTACCGCGAACGCCTGGAGTGCCGAAAACGGGTACTGAAAGTCTAAGGTGTAAGCATTCCCATCGATCCGTCCGAACTGCATCACCTGAAACAACCAAATTTCATGTTTAACTGCATTCGAAAATCGAAAAAAAAAATATTCTGAGTGATACCCGATTTTTGGTCGACCGAGACTGTACCGAATCATATCTGCGACTGCGCATGTCACAATTGTCACACGCACGTATAATAATTTTCCTTACTGGTCACCAGAGCTCGCCTCCATTTCATACACAGGGTGGGCCATAAGCTGTTAGCCGCGCCATTGCCTGGAAATTTAGTCGCCATGGAGCGCAGCGTGCATTTTGTGTCCGATCGCATTATGAAAACAATAAATCGGTTATTAATGTGCGACGTTTGTATCGACATGAACACGGTCTATGCGAATTAAGAGAAGTTCCAAGCGCCAATATGATACGGAAATGGATCAGAATGTTCGAAACAACCGGTTCCTCAGTAGCAATAACAGCTCGTGGTTGTCTAGTTTTTGCAAGATCAGCCGAAAATGTAGAGCAGCTGAAGACGAATATTGCTCAGGAAAGGAAGTCATTTGAACAACATTATTTTTAAGTCTTAAAAATTCCTATCTTTCTACTTTTTAAAAATGCATTTACTTCTCTTTTATATTGTGTAGTTATTTTTTAGTTGAATATTAAAATTACCAAAACCTTTATGGCTCACCCTGTATAACCCTTAGACTTGGTAGTGTCCAGTCGGTATCCAGCTGCAGCCTTCATGGTAAGTTAATAGAAATATGATCTAATGGATTCCCTTGTTTCGTTATTCAAAGTAACAACGAGTTTAACGAGCAGGAGTGCAGATTACGATGAGTCATTCTTTTTGGTCGTATCAAGTATGCGAACAGAAGTTGTGCTAACATCCTAAAAACGCATATTACCTGTTTTCCTCTAAACTCAATTTGAAAATTTTTAGCAGACTCCTGTGTAACTCTTCCTCCAAAATCTAACTGATACACTTGACTGTTCTCGTTCCACATGGGAGCTTTGTTGTGCATCACAAATTCTCTTCTCTGAGGTATTGTTTGGTTGTTGCAGTTACTGCTACCATTTGGCTCTATCCTTCCTCGCTTGAGCTGAAAACCAACCATCACTAAAGATTATTGAAAGAATATATATTCGAGAAGAGAATAACACAAAAAGGCTGTACAATAAAGCCATGAGAATCTCGTAGATACACGTTTACATGTCGGTAACATTTCTAAATACATGCCAATTTTGAGACTGTTAAAAATTAGCTGCAAGTGTCTATCTGATTAAAATTTTGTACCTTTTGCCTTAACTGAGATTTCTGAAAGGTCTCTAAATCCTTGTAGTTTGTGCCATTGAAGATTTCATCTCCAGAAGCATTTACTTCATCGTCAGAGCTCTCTTGAGTTTTACTTTTTTTACTCCTTCTGCCCAGTAGAGGGGAATTGAGTAACTTCCTTCTAATTGGGGATGCAGACTGTGGCCTAACACCTAGAAAGTTTTATTGAGTATCACACATACAATTTCCAGGCATTTGTAGGATCCACACGCTTGATATCTATGGGATTGTTACTATCTTTTATTTGTTGTTAGAGATGCGGTTTTCGCCTTAAATATTCATGTTAGACGCATACGACAGTTCATTTCACGATCACTGTTACAAAAATTTGCATTAACTAATCACTTTATTTTGCGTATAATATACAAGCGAGTCAGAGAAACATGACTCATGAATAAGAGTTGTACTGTTGTACTACAAACTAAAATGCTAAAATATGAACATAGTCAAGTCGGGGCAACAAATTTTGGATACAGTCGTCAAAGTACGCTTCTGCCTGACCGTAAGTCCTGTTAGTATGTGTTTATTTTAACATGCCATTTTCCAAGCGCTTTCCATCAAAAAATTCTTTAGGTTTTGGAAAAAGATGAAAGTTAAAGCTGTATGGTGGATTCATTAATGGGCAAGTTTACCATTTTTTTGTTTTTTGCTCAAATGTAAGTTTAGGAAAAATTAAACAAGGTGGTGAAAAAATTATTAATTCATCTCTAAAAACAAAAAAGTTACAGCCCATCAAAGTTGCGCCCCGCGAGAATACTTTTATTCTGTCTGTACGTTACGTGTGACGTCACACTTCTGTATCCAGTTGCAACGCTCGCGGCCGATTCCTGGGCCCGAGCCGAATCAATCTCCTAAACACATGCATAGGCACACATACAGCGGGACACATGGTAGGCTAAACGTCTTCCGCCCGAATTTGTTTAATTGGTTGACTGCATATACGATCGGTTATGAGCAGAATAAGGAAAAAGGGTCGTTATAAATACTGTACCGTTCCAAAATGTACGAGCACAATAATTACAACCTCTAATAAACATTTTCTCTATCTACCTTCACATGCGGCGTCCATAATAGTATGAACTTACGCTACGAGACGCTGGGCACTAGAGAAGTGTCAGACGCGAACAAACGGCAGCTATGGTTCCGCGCTATAATGCGCCAAATTCAAGTATACTAAGTGACATATAAATCCGAACACCCAGTTTAAATGGTTTTATTTTAATAAAATTTTGTATAAGTACTTAATGAAGCATAATAAGTAAATCATAAAAATTTCAATATGATTGCACTGCTTTAAAGCCCTTTGACCTTTAATAATGTGTGGATGCACCCTGATGTGCTACGCATTCTCCAACGCGCCTAGGCATGCTTCTGATCAGGTGGTCAATGTCCCCCTGTGGTATCTCATTCCAGGCAACCATCAATTCCTCTCGAAGTGCTTCTAGAGCCTGAGGAGGACGTTGCAAAGTGAGCAATCTCCTACCCATCATATCCCACACGTGCTCAATTGGGGATAAGTCGGGAGATCTTGGTGGCCATGGTGACAATGTGACATCATTATGTTGAAAGAAGTCTATTGTGACTCTTGCAACATGTGGTCGGGCATTATCTTGTTGGAAAGTTGGATCTGCCAGGGTGTCAAGATAGGGTAAAAGATGGGGTTCTAGAACTTCGTGGATATAACGCTGCGCGTTCATGTTACATCTGATGAAGATTAAAGGTGACCTGGAACCATAAGCTATAGCACCCCAAACCATAACTCCAACAGTGTGATGAACATGTCTTTCAACAAAAAACTGTGGATTCCTTCTTCACCACGTCGCCTTCTAACCCTGGCACGACCATCGTGCATGCCTAAACAAAATCGAGACTCGTCACTAAAGACAATACTGTTCCATTCCTGATCCCAGAGTGACCGTTGTCTGCACCACTCAAGGCGATTACGTCGGTGTTCTTGAGTTAAAGGGAGGACCCAGTGTGGCCGGTATGAAAACAAGCCAAAACTTCTCATTCGTCGGTAAACACTTCACATGCCATTTGCAATGGACCTGGTAGTGGAGAAACGCTCCCTTAAGGCCAATAATCTTAGGCGGCGATCTTCACGGTCTGTTGTTCTACGGCGGCGTCCAGTGCCCCTTGCTCCTTGCGTACGGCCTTCTCGTAGCCATGCCTGACAACACCTAACCACAGTGTCTACACTTCTTTGCACTCTAACTGCAATTGCCCGAAAAGAAAGTCCAGCTTCCCGAAGTCCCACTATACGGCCCCTATCAATCTCACTAAGTTGACGAAATCGTACAGGTCTCCATACTCTAGGCATCGTAACCGATCGTAAAGGATGTCAAGAACCAAAATCCGCCAACGTTGATTCTTTACTGCGGCTGAAATATTCATTTTTAGAGCGTTTGTGAATTAAAAAAAAAAGCAGTATAAAAACCGGAATGTCCAACTGATAAGGCTGAAAATTTTTTCACTTGTTATTTACAGTAAGATAAATACATTCACCAACTTTTATTAAAATAAAACCATTTAAACTGGGTGTTCGGATTTATACGTCACTTTATAAATTTCTCTATCATTTATTGGTCGATATTAATCATTTTTCCACTGGCTGATTATATTTAGTCTATATTTTGCTAGTATAAACTTCTCCATTTCTAACAAAACTTGTCTAGCTATGTCGGTGTTCCTGCCGCAACCTGAGGCGGCTGTCGAATTTGAGTAGGAGGAACCTTGTTTGCATTCAAACACCAAAATACATGGCGACAACCAAAACAGTATAATCTCACCACTAACATCGACAGAGACGGGATACGTAATAGTAGCATAGTAAGAGTCGGGCCAAGAGCGTCTGAGGCTGAACAGTCGTCACGTGACAGGATGCGCAAGCACGTAATCAGTTCTTAGTTCAAAAATGGTCCTCGTAAAAGTATATTCGCTTGATTTTCTTGCTATGGCAGCTAGGTTAAGACATGTTACGTATGTATTCATATCCTTCGCGTTACGCTTACGTTACTCTACTGTTTTTAGGAAGCTATGTCGCGACTTTTGGCATCAATGTTAGTATAGGTGTGATTTGAGAATGCATTCTATAAAGAGCTGTATCAACCTGACGCATATATTTATGATATTAGTATTTCTAGTAATAAATCGGTTGCATATTTTATTGGATACTCTAGTGATTGACGAAAGAATTCAATATCATTTTGTAGCAGTTGTAATCCTGACACGATTAATAATTGTATTGTATAGTATTACTGGTAATAAATCTCACCTTTCTTACTAGGTGCAGGTGAGCTTGGTGAGCTTTTAGGAAGCCTAGGGCTAGCAGGCGGTGATTTGCTGTCGTCTTCCCTTAACCTAGTTATCAACTTCTCCAGGTTTGCCAGTGCTTGCGTATGTATCGACACTCCGTTCCGTTCTCCATTGTTTTCTATCCTCTGATTGGCGTTCACCTTTTTATGACTATTTCTCCCTCTGTTTTTCTCATTGTTCATAGAATCGTCTTTCTTTCTTCTCATCAGTGGCGATGAAAAGAAATCGCGTTTTGTGCTTTTTGTGTTATTGTTGTTATTGATGCTGGCACTATTGTTACTGTTCTTAGAGTTCTCCTCGATCACCGTTATTGAGTTTGTGTCTGCTTTGCTATTTATGTTATGACATTTGGTTGTCGATACAGATTCTATTTCTGGTATGTTTTCTACCTTGTTCTTCATAATACTGCAAATACAATCTACGTGAGCACTTCCATCATTAATCATATTCAAGGAGCACATAATCTAAAGTATGAAACGTAATAATTACTTATGAACCAAAGCTATATTTGCAACTTGTGTGTGAGAAACGGACCGGTAGCTAGAACGATTTTGAAACTTACCTAAAAGAACTATTTTCGCTATTTGGAAAAATATCACTAGAATCGAGACTTTTTGATTTACCACAGCTTTTCAATTTCAGACCTGCATCAGTTGCTTTTGTGATCTGTTCCAGTTGCCTCGCATTCAGACGGTTCTGCTTACGGGCCTTAGGCTTCTTATTGACTAATACTAGGCGTTTCGGTATATCTTTGCACAGAAGATGGAGTGATTCATCACTAGGCACTAAGTGAGCATCTACTGTGTCCAAAAATCCTTAAAAATAATATTACTTAGTCAATTTCACATATATATATATCGGTCAGAATTATTATGGTGTCAGTATCAGTACACATCATATGATTTATGAAATATAAGGCAGTCGGTGTCGCTATACAGGATTATTGGAAAATTTGGAGACGGTCAAATATCTCGAGAGGAACCAAATTTGAAATGCTTGTATAATCGATCATTTATCATTAAACGTCAGTAATCGCGCTGTTTCCATTTATCAATATATGAAGAGCAATACTTTTATAATTCTGATCATCAGAATGTCATTTTTATTTTTGACCTTTAGGAAGCAGAAATATGGGGTTGTCCAAAACGGATACAGGAAAGTAAACGCATATTAAAACAAGAAAGATTGATATTCAAATCAAGTTGGGTACTTTATTTTGAAGGTTCATTTATACCATTTATGTATGAAAAATAATATCGCTCAAATGTTCACCACGACTGGATTTATAGACGTCCACGCGATGGTCGAAATTTTCAATGACATTTTGCAACATGGTCGGTTCTATGGCATTTATCTCGGCATGATGTTGTTTTTGAGTCCTTGGAGGGTGGCTGGTTTGTTGACGTAGACTTTGCTTTTCAAATATCCCCATAAAAAGAAGTCCAAGGAAGTCAAATCGCACGATCTTGGTGGCCATGGCACATTTCCTCTGCGCGAAATCACGCGATCACCGAAGAAGGACTGCAATCGATGGATATTGACGTTGGTTAAGTGGCATGTTGCACCGTCTTGTTGGAAATAAACATCGTCCATATCCATTCCTTCAAGTTGCGGCAAAAAATAGTCCTCTATCATCACGTGATATCGCTCAGAATTGACGGTAACGGCATCCCCGGCCGCATTTTCGAAAAAGTAAGGTCCGATGATGCCTTTTGACCACAATGCACACCACACAGTCACTTTTTGAGGATGCATCGGCTGCTCTTGATACTCGCGGGGATTTTCGTTCAGCCAGATGTGGAAGTTTTGCTTGTTTACCGTCCCATTCAAAGTGAAATGCACTTCGTCGTTGAACATGATTTTTGATGAAAAATTGGCATCAATTTGGCGGTGTTCAAGGAGCCAATCTGAGAACGTTCGGCGCGAAAAATGGTCGGCCCGACGCAGCTCTTGCGTCAATTGGATCTTGTAGGCGTGTACATTCAAATCCTTGTGGAGAATGCGGAGCAAACTGGTTCTCGAAATGCCCAATTCTTGGGATCGACGCGTTGTTGATTGTTTCGGATCGTCTCTCACACTCTCCTTCACAACAGCAATATTTTCCCTGTGTGCGAACGCTCCTTGGCCGGCCAGAGCCTGGCAGATTTGCCACAGAACCTGTTGCTTCGAATTTACGCACCAGACGACCGATGGTTGTTTCGTTTGGGCGGTTGTTGCAACCGAAATGTTCACGAAGCGCGCGAAACGTGTTTTTTATTTTTGCACCATTTTTGTAGTGCTCTTGAATAACTTTAATGCGGTCTTCAATCGAATACGACTCCATAGCGATCAATGGTAAACGTTCAACTAACAAAATGACATGTCGGTGACAGAAAACAAAGATGGCGTCTATGTCAAATTGACGTTTACTTTCCTGCTTCCCTATTGGACCACCCTTTACATTTACGTTACTTTTGGGTATATAGCAGCATAATACGAGTTTAATTGGAAAAGTTATGTTGCTTAGAGGTTTTACTAAGGGTGTCGTTGTGCAAGGAAACGGCGATAAGAGACCATGACTGGTGATCGAGGAAACTAATGTTGTTATCTCTCTGTATATGAAATTGTTACTATATATTTATGTAATAATGAGTTTTTGGATATTCCAACTTACCTACACTGCAACTTCTGACCATCGAGTCGATCAGGTAAGGCGGTGCCTGCACCTGAGCTACATGAGTAATTTTTCTACACACATCTGACGATTCAGCGCCAGAGGTACTAGGCTCCTCATCAATAAACTTCAATTCCTTACTCGCGCAACTGGACGCTTGCCTTTCAGCACTACTACCACTGCAGCTCTTCATTGCGCTGCCACATCTTGTACCACACTCAGTTTGACTGCTTCCACTAGTGCACCTGTTGGTGCTGGTAACGTTATTGGTGCTACATGCGGAGGTTCCGTTTTGGCTAGGTCCGTTGATACTACTTCTGGGGTCATTTGTGCTGGAGTAACTGGATGGTCTAATTTGGAAGTACTCGCTATTAGAATACGAAATAATCGTAGAGGCTGGCGGTCTATCGAATATTATATCACTTGGTGCAACGGCGTTCTTTGGAGATTGCAGCTGTGGTACTGAGACCTGAAATGGAAAATATTTAACTACAGTAACACCAGTAAGACAAAATGAAGGGAAGAATAGGGAACGCCACATTTTTTTGTTACCTCATCGGAAGCAGGTCCTTGTATACGATATTTAGTTTCCAAACGTAAGCCTTTGAAATATGTAAACAGATGGCGCCAAAAAGACATTTTTATCTATGACCGAACCGATGAGAACAAGAAATGTCCATGTTATAGCAGCAAAGAAGAAGGATTGTCCAAAATGACAGTTGTAATTAACGTGATGTTTGTTTGTAATCGGAAGCCATAAATAAATAAATAAATTCTAGAGTGTACGGGAAATGTGCGTTAAGTATGTATATATTCTAGAGACAGTTAATCTCAATTGAATATTCTGCATCAATGTTTGATGTGCTCGACCCTCCATCAAAGTGGCTGGTGTGATATGTTGCCATATTCAAATCAGTCTAACTATTTAATGTAAATACGGGTATCGTTTGGGTCTCGTGTGGGTTCCGGTTTAACGTGCCCATTCGCACCTCAAACTTCGACACTGTCATTAATAATTGAAGTTTGCTTTTAGTGCAGAATAAACGATAGGCTTAGATTTATGGATCCGGAAGTATATGTTTGGTTCTAAACAATGGGGAGATATTTTTCAGCGCACTGCATCTGCATCTTATATACCGGTCATATCTTAGTCTCTGCCGTAAAAGCTTCCATAGTTATCAGTGAGTGACTCATACACCCTTAAAATCTCTTAAAGCAATGCGAACAAGCGTGCCATTTAATGCTAAGATGAATTTGGATCCTGGAAATAGTTTGGCGACGTAGAGTTCTTAAAGATGTTAAAAGAAACTGTCTATATGCATACATAAATCAGAAATCAAAGACAGCTTACCTCGCAACATATGGGTGATATGGCGTGTCTCTGACTGCCATTAGTTTGTCCAAAAGACGTCATCAGTCCAACGCTACCAGGTCTCAGATGATGTTGCGGTGTTGCCGATGTACCACAAGATGGCATCACAGCTGATGGACGGATATAATCAGAGCAACTTGATGTCGTTGGCGTTTCGCTCGTATCTGCTATCAATCGTTGCGGGTGATGTGGAATGTCTGGCAGGTCTTGTTTCATGATAATAGACATAAGTGAATCTGGAATGTGGATCAACTGACTTTTATATTCATTCATATATATATAATCAATCATAATATACCACTGAACAAGCTTTGGTGAAATGACATCCGATACATGGATGCCACTTGAACCTGCATTTTATCATGGGCGGATGTTACTTCGTACCCGGAATAAATAAATAAATATGTATATATATATATATATATATATATATATATATCAAAAAGTAGGAAAATAATGGGCAAAATCCGCAAAAAGGAGGAAAGTTGGATTCGAGCAGAAAATAGGATAGGTAACCTGAGCGATACGTATTTCTGCTGGTTGGCTTCATCAGGCACAAAATGAATGCGCATATGCAACTACAAAGGTAGATACACATGCCCACAGATACGGATACGGGTGTAAACTGAGGGAACGAAGATGGAGAGGGAAAAAATCCTCACACGAAGCCCACAACAAGAGCCAACCAACACATTGTAGTAAAAAATGACTAGAAGACCTCGAATTTTCAAGGAGATATCTAACCACAACCACGCGGCCAGTTATAGCCACTTGCTGTGGTACTTCAAGCCCAAAGGATCTACAAAGAGAAAATGATCATGCGGTGAAAGGTATATGGGCAAAATCCGGAGAAAGGAGGAAAGTGGAGTTTGCCCATTATTTTCCTACTTTTTGTTATATATATATATATATATATATATTTATTTATTTATTTCGGGTACGAAGTAACATCCGCCAATGCTAAAATGCAGGTTCAAGTGACATCCGGGTGAAAGTGGCATCCGTGTATCGGAAGCCATTTTAGCAAAGCTTGTTCAGTGGCATACTATGATTGTGTGAGTTCGAAAAACAAAAAATTAGAAAGAGGTTAATTGACACCGAAATCAGATTTAAAATGTGTATTTTAGTGCTAGAGCGTATAGCCTAGGTTGCGGTGGGCTAGAACGGAGTATATTCATGACTATACTACCCGCGGCTAAGGTGGAATCCACAAACACTGGCAACCATGTAGTTCTCTGTAGTTTCTTTCATAGGCCAACGTGGTATCTATATACTCTTTGCGTTTACCGTTCAATTGGCCCGAAATGAATGGACCACAAAAGTAGATACACATGCCCATATACCCACATGATCCTTTCCTCTTTATATATATATATATAAGTAGATCTCGTTAACTTCCTTTTGTAATTGTTTTGGCACATCATATCTTTATATTGTTGTTACAATTACTGTTTCTGATGATGTTGCGACTGTGGTTTTTGTGACGCTAAAAGAGATGACGTAAGACCATTCACCTGTCTTTCTGACCAGATGCTCTGTTCCCATATAAGCACTTTTATGTCTGGCTGCCAGTCCGGGTGCTCGAGGTGACATGGGAGCAATAGGAGGGCAATCCATACCACGTCCACATGCTGCTTTGCTGTTCCGTTGCTTCTCCGCTGCTATCAACGCCGCCTCTTCTTCGTCCTCGGAAAAAACGTTTGGATTGAATGTTGGGTCGGGACCTGCGAACAAAGGTGTGCAGTTTACATCTCACGTCAATGAACCCACAAGAGAAGTTTGAAATTTTTGTTATTAAATTTACACAAAGAGAAGTCCTGGACAGTATAGCAGGGAGGAGATATAAACCATTTAAGATTTCGATATCGAATATGTGTCACCTTATCACACTAGTGATGCGTACCTATTTTCATTCTTTTGCGGTCATATAATCATCATAATCAGTACGGTTTCGATATTATAGTGGAAGACATGTTTCAATACATAATAAGTTAAAAAGTTATTTTTCATTTATACCTACATACCTCCAAAACGACTAATTTACTATACAGTATTGACATAGCAATTCGTTGAGATATCTCATACTAACGTAGCTGCGGGGGAGCCTCTCCGAGGCTAACGAAATTTTGTTAGCGTAATAACCACCCAACTAGCAAAGTAGTGGTACACGCTTTTGGTAAAAGAACCGTTCAGCCGTAAAAGCTCTCTATTGCTGTTGCCTGAACATCAAAATGCTGGCTTAATGTAGTGTGGAATGCAAATTTGCTTTCTGCAACATATTGGCTCCAAAATGAGGTGCTTAAAATACTCTTATAGCATGGGTATACAACACCTTATAGGGCAAGTTTTTAACTGTTGCATAAACGTTTATCCTCCTGGGACCCAGCGTCCATTTAAATGGACATGCAGTTTTATACTTCCAGTTTCGTTAATTTAATATTTACGCAGCGTAGACCTCGCATCCACTACGTTGGACACTTCCGTACTGCCGCCTAGTCCGATTCGGCCGACTTTAGTCTCGCACCTGCGCCGTGAATCAGTAAGTTTGTTTTCTGTTGTGATGGCGGCTGCACGTGATTCTCGTTTAGATGGTATGTAACCTATTTTTTAACATTATGTGCTGATTTAGGAGGAAATATATATATTCGTTAATGTTTAATAGATACATTTAAACAGCTTTATAATAATAAAAATTTTAAATAACTTTTGTACTAGCCTAAATTATTTGCGTCCATTTAAATGGAAATTGGGTCTATCTCATGAATATTTTTGATTTATTCGGAAAATTTATTTTAGCAATTTTTGGCAATAAACGAGTGCTTCGGCCAGGGGAAGATGACGAAAAATTGGAGCAAATACTAAAACTCATTGCAAACGATGATTCTGACGTTGAAATGTCTGATGATGAAAATGAAATTGAAAATATGGATAATTTAGTACAGAGAGAGGACGAAATAAATGATGAAGACCTGGTGAGCAGCAGTGACGAGGAAGGAGAAGACAGAATTCCTCTTAGTGTCCTTAGAGAAAAGTTAAGAACGGCCAAACAAACTCCCAATTCTTCGCAGCGACAGTTTTGGAGAAGGAATGATACTTTTACACCTCCAAATTTTGAAGGTCCGTCTAGTGAATGCAGCGCACAGCTTCGCGATTGTTGGACTGCAAAATCGTATTTTGCCATGTACTTAGAAGATGACATGTTCCAAAAAGTATGTGATTGCACAAATGCAAGGTATGTTGAACTTAAAGGAGTATCCCTTAGATGGACACTTAATGAGATTAAACATTTCTTTGGGATAATTTGTCTAATGTCCTGCCTAAAATATCCTAGAATCAGAATGTACTGGGCCAAACCCACGAGGGTTGCAGCTATTGCGGATGTTATGACTCGAGATAGGTTTTTTTCTATAAGAAGTAACCTCAAAGTCGTAATTGATGGCAGCATCTCTGAGGAGAAACGCAGGTATGACAAATTTTGGAAAGTGCGTCCTATTTTAGAAGCAGTATTGCAGGGGTGCTTGCAGCTACCCAGAGAGAAAGTAGTTGCTGTGGATGAGCAGATGATACCATTCACTGGAACTTGTCAAATGAAGCAGTTTGTTAGGGGAAAACCCAATCCAGAGGGATTGAAAAATTTTGTTGTTGCTGCTCCTGATGGTCTTGTCGTAGACTTTGAACTATATCAAGGAAAAAATACGTTTCCAGATGATTCTGTAAAACGACTTGGTGTTGGACCTTCTGCTGTTGTTCGGCTTGGAAGAACATTATTTCCTGGAACTCATGTGTATTGCGATAGATATTTTACGACAATACCACTTCTTGAATATCTTCGCCAACAAAAGAAATATTGTACTGGAACGATTATGAAATCTCGTGTACCAGCGGCAGCACATTTAACTTCAGACAAAATGATGGCCAAGATAGGTAGAGGTAGCTCGGAACAAATTGTAAGGCAAGATGGCGAAATAGTGGTTGTACAGTGGTATGACCTGAAATCTGTACTTTTGGCATCTACTCGTCTGGGAATTCAACCTAGTGATGAGTGTAAACGGTGGTCTAAGAAAGACTCTAAATACATACAAGTTGCAAGACCTTACATTGTTGCTAAATACAACGATTGTATGGGAGGAATTGACCTGATAGACCGAATGATCAGCTGTTACAGAATTCAAGCCAGATCAAAAAAATGGACTGTAAGAGTCATTTTCCATTTCTTTGATTTAGCATTGGCAAACTCATGGATTTTTTATCGAAGAGATAAAAAGATATTTCAAACCTCTACACGAAAAATACAGCAGTATCTAGATTTTAAAATCGAAATTGCCACGTACCTTTTGAAAAATGAATCCAACATTTTCCAAGAAAATATACGAGGTATAGGAACTCGAAGAAATCCTGAGGGTAATATCATTGTTGATTCACCATCAGCAGGCACCGAAAGAAAGCGGAAAGAACATTACCCTGAAATTGCCTCAGATTTAAGAAATTCGGTTCGATGTAAAAATGACAGTTGTACTAAAAAAACGAAGTTTTTTTGTAATAGATGTAACACATTCTTATGCATAACTGGCTACAGAAACTGCTTTATAGAGTTCCATAACAGATAAATTTAAGTTTACGTTTATTTTCTATGTTCTTATAAGTTTAAGTTTTAATTTTAAATGTATTTTTAACCATCTAAATAACTTATACATTAGGCATTTTTGTATAGGTTAAGACCCAATGTCCATTTTAATGGACGTCATGTATCTTTCAAAATAAGAAAAAAAATAAAAAATGTCCTCAGTAAAGAATGTTTGTTAATGTATTTTCTGTTATATTTAAAAACGTCACAACTCTAACTTATGAAAAACATGTCTGGGTCGCAGGAGGTTATACAACTATTTTATACGGCATATTTGCACGTTAGTCAAAATGGTTGTGTTGTGGCATCCATGGTCACGTTTATAAAACAAACCGGAGCCTTGTTGTTTTGCTGTGCAATTTACTACTTTAGCCAATAAATTGTTCCCAACGGAAGCACTTATACAATTGTTGTATAGTAACTGTTAAAGGCTGTACATATGCTAAATATGTTGGTATGCAACTTCACCATAACCTAACTTTGTGCTGTCATATTTTTGTTAAAATACCATAACCAATGTTTTAAGACAAACAACGCATGCATATTGGTTCAAAATGTTTTATCAACTGTTCAAACAGAAGATATAGATCTGGTACAAATTCTGGGTAAATCATGCGACTCTGTCGGTATTTCATTTCAGACATTTGTCAAATTGTTGTATAACACCTGCAGGCAACACCACAATATTCTAATAACCTAAAGACAATATCGACGATACCATGATTATACACAACCAGCCGCGATATTGGGCAAACGTTTATTCGTCTATTTAATATTAAATAATTATGTTTCAGTTCGAAATTACAGATATAAAGTGATAAACATTAGTGTAATTGCGTCTAGATATAGGATTTGTGGAAGATTTAACGCAGATAAGTTCAGTTTTCCATCTTAAAAATCTAGACGTACTTTTGATCATTATCAAAATATGCATGAAATAAGAAGCCCGTAGAAATTGCGTAACTACTTTGCACGATAATCACAATAAAATTTGCTGCGCAAGTAATTCAATAACCCTATATCACAGTGTAGAAGTTTATCATATACCTGTGTATGAAATTCACAATGGCCGATATGTAAGTAAACAAGATGACTGTAATGTGTTAGTTATATATTCTTCACTTCGCCTATGCAATACATAAGAAATAGTTTGGTTGCAATAAAATAGAATCACGTAACATAACAGTTGCATAGTTGACAAAAACTGAATCTTGCACTGACGCAAATGTCCTATAGCGGCTGCAAGAGGCTTACACTTTTGTTCTATAACTGTTACCTGCAGCCCTTATACAACCTCTTAAATGACTGAAATGTCGTATTAGGTGTGCCCATTCCGCTTGTATAGCAGTTATAAGAGGGTTTTGCCAATGTTCTTACAGTATACAATGCTGTTTAAGGAATACTGTATAATCATTCTTGCATCTCTAATAGGAGTGATAATTGTTAGTTGGGAAATATCATGTCCGTCAAAAATATCAGAAACTGGGTAAGATATCCGCCTTTATGTAAAATAGGGCTCACTAGCCGCGCTTTACCATACGATTTAAACGGAAAAGTCTCCCGGATTTCCCCTAGATTTGTTGGCAGATAGAAGCAACTTGTGACTATACCTGCTGGGAAGTCGTCTCGTAATTCAGTCATGACCAAAGTCATCTGGCGTGGCTGAAGATGCAGCAAAGATGTCTTGTACGTTACTTGGCCTAGGTTTGCAGGAACAGACGTCGCTAGGCCATGTATCTTGAATTTGGTCCCCCAAATATTGGAAGTTACTTCAACTAGGCGAATTTGCTGAAAAATTAGTGATTCAAGATGTAAATTTTGAAGTAATTACCGCAAATTTTTTGATTTCCTAATACTTTTGTATTTAAAGCCTCTTCTGGTTTCCGAGATATTTGAGAGTGTCCATACTTTAGTGACACACTGTATATTATGTATTTGCCTCTCTGAACAGACATATTTTTCAAATCAAGTGACTATCTACAGACAGAGAGAGAGAAAAATTGAGAAATGATTGGAGTCATACTTCATACCAGAGTCATTAAAAGTAATTAAATCAAATTAATCATTTAAAAAAGAACTAAAAAAATGGATTTTACAACAACCAAGGTACTCCATCCACGAAATTGTAGATCTGAAAAATCATTATCAAAATCAATAATATTTTACTTACACTAACATCCATACTTATATAATGATGCACAAGTATATGATACTAAACAACTTTACTTCTTACATACCATCACTCATTATCACAAAACTATTAGTGAACACGACATAATTAAACATAATCATAAAACCAGATATAAATTACGCGCAAAAAATGTTCCTAAACCAAACAAATCCCTAATGAAACGATGTCACCTGTATATAGCTCCAAAATTGTACGAACATTTAACAAATAATTTAAAACAATTACGCAATACATTAGGCTTCAAAAAAAATTAAAAAAATTTATTAACACGATTGGGAGAAATCAAATTAATAAAATAATCTCAAATATTACACAATAAATGCTCTACCATTCTTACCAATAATTTCTTTTTTCTCTCTATTTTATTATATTTTGCAATTCAACATACATATGATCCATGCACAGGCGTTGTCCTCCTATGGATATATTATATTTATTTACTCGTTTCATGTTCCCTGTATTTTAGAGTAAATAAATATTATTATTATTATTATACTTTTACTTTAGTTATAATTGTCTAAATATTTTTCCTGATATTACCATAATAATTCACCAAATTATACAGTATTAACGTTGTTTTTATCATATACTGAATGTACTTTTATTTATTTTCAACAAACCCAAACACAAGTGCAAACTTTTTTTGGGTGCTATATGTTTATTAGGCATAATATTTGATATTTACCTGTATTTTGTGTCAATAAAGATTATTATTATATCCTGTGCGTTTACTAACCTCCGGCAGTGTATCCACATAGGCCAAATCCTGCTCGTGCTCGCTGTCCCTGGCCTCCACCCATTGCATCGGTCTCTCACCGGTACCACCCACCCCTCCCGACGCTCGATGCTTCCTCTTCTTTCTGCGCTGCACCCGCGGTGAGCCTGTACAGCCATCTTCCCTGTCCGTATCTGACGTGTCACTATTGCACCCTCCGAAACCGCCTCCTGAGTTCGTGGATGAAGACGAAGACTTCGATTCGGCGGAATTCAGGTGGAAATCTGAGATCAAAGTAATACCAAATAATAAAATCTTCTAAGGGGTATCACAGTTTTTATAACTTTTTGTAATATCACAAGTTTTTAAAGAATATCGATTTTTTTCAAAATCAAAATAACGGTCATTTAAAGCAACATATTTTCTTGGGAGATGTCAATATAAATATTTTGGACGATGATCCCATCACAAATGAATACTTGAATATCCTATCAAGTAACAGATTTCTGTCCTATATAAATCTACCTATAAGGCCCATCACTGCTTTGTGAAAGACCTATCCAACAATATTACTTGACTAGGAAAATTACAAATTTTTTGTCGACAATTCAAAACTAATATCAAATGTCAAACAAGAATCCTGGGAACAATTATACTCTATAAATAATATAGACAAAGCAACGGGACTGTTCACAGAGAAAATAAAAAAACTATATATATATATATATATATAATAGATATTAGTACCAATAAAGTAATAATTAGTCACAAAGAGAAAAGCAGAAATGCCTGGATTACCAAAGGATTAATAACATCGGCAATAGAAAAAGAAAGACTATATAATGTAATGAAACTAACGCCAACTACAGAGAATACCGACTGTTACAACCAATATAAAAATAAATTTATAGAGCTTGCAAGGCAAACCAAACGAAAACATTACCTAAATAAATTGAATAATAACTTAAATGATCCTAAGCGGCTTTGGACAACTATTGATGAGATTACTGGGAAAACAAAATTCAAAGGGTGTGTCACTGAGTTAAATACAGCATCGGGAACAGTATTAAAAAATACTCAACAAATATGCGATGAATTTGTACAATTTTTTACTGCCATAGGCGAAAATTTAGCAAGTAATATACAAGCAAATGTACAAAATAACCAGCCTCCAAAAAGATCTTTGAACTCGTTTATTTTGGATAAAGTCGAGCAATGTGAAGTATACACCACTGTTATGTCCTTAAAAAATCGAAAAAGTCTTGGGTTCGATGGTATTAAAAGCGAGCCTTTGAAAATTATAGCCGAGGACATAACAGAACCACTCACTTACCTAATCAACAAATGCTTTGAATCTGGCATATATCACTCAATTTTAAAAAAGGTAACATAAATCAGGAACAAAAACAGTTGTTAATAACTATAGACCAATATCAATAATATGCAGTGTAGCAAAGGTTTTTGAAAAAATTTTATCTACTAGAATGATTCGGTACCTCACAAAATTCAAAATTTTAAGTGAAATTCAGTATGGATTTACAGAAGGGAAGGCTACATCGGACGCAATAACTAAAATTGTATATCAAATACATCAAAATATTGATAACAGAATCCCTTCAATCTGCATTTTTGTTGATTTAAAGAAAGCTTTCGACACAGTTAATCACAAATTATTATTAGAAGCATTGGAGAGAATTGGTTTCAGAGGAAACGCGTACTCACTGATCGAAAATTATTTGTCAAATCGCCCACAATCTGTGCAGATATCAGGATCGTTTAGTAAAGAAATGTATATTATGTGTGGTGTCCCACAAGGAACTGTCTTAGGTCCGCTGTTATTCAATATATATTTAAATGATATTTGCCAAATTAATTGTGTTGGCAAAATAACCAGTTTTGCAGATGATACTGCAATATTATATGAAGGCACTGACTGGTCTGATCTGAAAAATGTAATTGAAAATGATTTTATCAAAATTATTCGGTGGTTTAACAGTAGAAAATTAAGCATTAACTATTCTAAAACACATTTTTTACCATTTGGATCTTATGCTAGACATCTGCCAAATTACACAAATTTCTCCTTCAATATTAATGATCAAAAAATGCAAATTAATAGAGTGCCCAACATAAAATACCTTGGAGTGGTTTTGGATCCTCACTTACGATGGGACATCCATGTCAATTATATTTTAAAGAAAGTTAGATTTGTATCCTACAAAATTAAATACCTTGGGAATATATTGACAGAAAAATATCTTCGAACATTATACCATGCACTGATTGAGCCTCATCTCACATATGGTATATTATCATGGGGAGCTGCATGTTGCTCACATATCTATAATTTAGATGTTTTTCAAAAAAGTGTTCTAAAAATGATATATAAAAAACCGAAACTTTATCCCACTGACAAATTATACGCAGATGTTCGAATGTATGATATAAGACAGCTTTATTTCTTACACAGTATCGCTCACTACCATAAATTTGTAAACAACGACCAAAAAATTAAACATAATCATTATACAAGGTACAAAATTCGTGGCACAGTAGTTCCTCAGCCGCATAAATCTATAATGCAGCGATCATATCCCTATTTAGCGCTTAAATTTTATGAAATTATACCTAAAGACTTAAAAGATTTACGTTTCGGAAATTGTTTCAAAAGATATTAAAAAAAGTAGCTACATTCTATATCTAGGACTGAAATTCATAAACTCATAAATACGAACATCAAGTAAATACGTATACATAATCTACTGTAGCTAATTTTTCTCCTTTTTTGTCATTTGCATTCTACAGTTGCAACTTAAAATTATTGGTCCATGTACAGGCGTTGCCTTCTGTTGGGCCTGTTTTGATTTTATATTTATTTACTCATATTGTTTGTTATCTTTGTAAATTGAGTGAATAAATATTATTATTATTATTATTATTATATAGATAAAAACTTCGGTATAAGCCAGTGGTCGCGCCGTCGATCGCGAGCTACCTGGTGGCTCACAACATATACTAAGTGTCATATAAATCCGAACACTCAGTTCAAATGGTTTTATTTTAATAAAAGTTGGTGAATGTATTTATCTTACTGTAAATAACAAGTGAAAAATTTTTCAGCCTTATCAGTTGGACATTCTGATTTCTATACTGCTGTTTTTTAATTCAGTAACGCTCTAAAAATGAATATTTCAGCCGCAGTAAAGAATCAACGTTGGCGGATTTTGGTTCTTGATATCCTTTACGATCGGTTACGATGCCTAGAGTACGGAGACCTGTACGATTTCGTCAACTTAGTGAGTTTGATAGAGGCCGTATAGTGGGACTTCGGGAAGTGTAGACACTGTGGTTAGGTGTTGTCAGGCATGGCTTCGAGAAGGCCGTACGCAAAGAGCAAGGGGCACTGGGCGCCGCCGTAGAACAACAGACCGTGAAGATCGCCGCCTAAGATTATTCGCCTTAAGGGACCGTTTCTCCACTACCAGGTCCATTGCAAATGAATGGTTTGCAGAACACGGAAGACCTATTGGCATGCGAAGTGTTTACCGACGAATGAGAAGTTTTGGCTTGTTTTCATACCTGCCGCACTGGGTCCTCCCTTTAACTCGAGAACACCGACGTAATTGCCTTGAGTGGTGCAGACAACGGTCACTCTGGGATCAGGAATGGAACAGTATTGTCTTTAGTGACGAGTCTCGATTTTGTTTAGGCATGCACGATGGTCGTGCCAGGATTAGAAGGCGACGTGGTGAAAGGAAGAATCCACAGTTTTTTGTTGAAAGACATGTTCATCACACTGTTGGACTTATGGCTTGGGGTGCTATAGCTTATGGTTCCAGGTCACCTTTAATCTTCATCAGAGGTAACATGAACGCGCAGCGTTATATCTACGAAGTTCTAGAACCCCATCTTTTACCCTATCTTGACACCCTGGCAGATCCTACTTTCCAACAAGATAATGCCCGACCACATGTTGCAAGAGTCTCAATAGACTTCTTTCAACATAATGATGTCACATTGTTACCATGGCCACCAAGATCTCCCGACTTATCCCCAATTGAGCACGTGTAGGATATGATGGGTAGGAGATTGCTCAATTTGCAACGTCCTCCTCAGACTCTAGAAGCACTTCGAGAGGAGTTGGTGGTTGCCTGGAATGAGATACCACAGGAGGACATTGACCACCTGATCAGAAGCATGCCTAGGCGCGTTGGAGAATGCGTAGCACATCAGGGTGCATCCACACATTATTAAAGGTCAAAGGGCTTTGAAGCAGTGCAATCATTTTGAAATTTTTATCATTTACTTATTATGCTTCATTAAGTACTTATACAAAATTTTATTAAAATAAAACCATTTAAACTGGGTGTTCGGATTTATATGTCACTTAGTATATTTGGAAAAGGTGTAAAAATCATAGAAGCTTCCGTAAATTTTGTGAATTCTCATAATAAACACAATGGAGGCAAAAACAAAAATTTTGCAAATTGCCTTTCCTTACCTTCCATCTGTGGATCGAATATCACGAACTCAGGTCGTATTTTGCTGGTTCTCTTCCCTTTCAAGAGCGGCACCAAACCTCCCAAGTACTCTAAATACAACGTGTAACATGTTCCAGTGGACAAATGGTTTTCTTCGTCATGACGAATCATCGTGCAGTGCAGTCGTACAGACCCCACTGGGGGTCTTGATATAAACTCTCTCAAAGAAAACGGTTCAGGGACACAGCACTGAAAAAGTATCTATGTTAACACAAAATCATGTGGTGCGACATATAACTAGACTTTCGTTACTTTCAAAAGCGTACAGCAATAAATTGACCAACACAAGGTCATACACTGATCCAAACTCTTCCTCTTCTAAGGGGACATGTTACGGAGGCAAGTCTCTCAAAGTTCCTTGTGCTTTTACTAGATATCACACATCTGTGCATTTTCTATGAAACAATTTGGCAAGCACCATAACCAATAAACAGTACAACTCTCTAACGGAAACTTTATACTGAGGATGCGGAAAGCAAAAAGGGTACTCATAGAAAGTTAAGCATTTGTTTGATTTTTGCTTTTCTTTAATGTCCCTCTCCCCATTGATTTTTTGAACGGATCAATTGAAAAAATTAAAACTTGAGGTGATGAAATTAATGCGTGGATACCATATTTTAGAGTAAAATTGACAGGTGAAATTATATGAAAACGGGGGTCTTGTGGCACATCATTTTGAAGCCCCTGGCGATTCCTTTATAACCCTAGAATATAAAGTCAATACCTTTAACTACTACAAAATGGTGGTACATTTAATAATTACTTAAACACAAACCCACTAACATGCATATTGCTACAAATAATTGTAATCCCTGCCGTATCCACAGCAACAGCGATAAAAACTTGTTTTGTTATTTTTTGTTGACAGTGACAAGAATATCAGTACGAAAACAAACATCATTGTGCAGTTAAAATATTCTTATTTAGTTTTCGGTTTTAGTGCTAGATACTGTTTGAACTCTTTCCAAAATGGTCAATTCTCGTCCATTGGAAGAAATCGATACTGATATTGATGATGCTCCACCACACTACTACAGATAAGTTAGGAATTATTTAGATAACAATTTCCTCGGTCGTTCGATTGGCCGTCGAGCTCCTGTGGAATGGCCAGCTCGCTCGCCAGATTCGACACCTTTAGACTTTTTTTATTGGGGCTATTTGAAGCAAAAGGTGTACGAAACTGAACCTGCTTCAATATTGGATATACGGCTGAGAATAACAAATATTTGTAGGAATATCGATGTTACCATGTTTGAAAATGTTCGACGCGAAATTACGGACCAGCTGTTATTGTGTCAAGAGGTTCAATGCAACCATTTGCAGCATTTTCTAAACTCAACTTAACGAATTTATTCGAATTATCAAGTTAAATGTCCGTTCAAAAAATTAAAGGGGAGCTGTCCTGTCTAACCTCTCAATCCGAGTGTACCCTTAAGGAAGGGCAAGTACTCAGTTCTGTGCTCTGTTTCGAGGGATCAGACCTTGTGTGCTTTTTGTTCTTCAGCGCTCAAATTCCCAATTTTTCCGCTAAATTTCCCTACAGTTAAATTCTTGGTACCATAGTTATGACTTCGTTATTGATCAATTCAGTGTCTGTTAATATTCCGTTAATACTTTTGATCAAGAAACTATCTCAATCTGTTGATCCCACAAAACTTATTTATATTTCTAGTTCTCTTTCTATGCTCGATGAGCGATTTATTTGAATTGAGGTTTGAATTTCAATTAACTATAACCAGTAACAGCTTGTTCATTCATTTATGTATTTATTTTCTGTGGACAAAAAACATTGTGTATAAATATTCTTCCACTTCATAAAAGCTATTTTCAATTAAATAGTCTTTTAAGAGATTTTTAGATGCCTTTAGACGGTGGCAATTCTTTATTTCCAAAGGAAGTAGGTTAAACAGCTTTAGGCCATTAATATTTGGGGACTATATTTTATGGTGGTATATAAAAGTCTTTCCTAATCCTCGAATTAACCGATTGCGTCTGGCCGTGTGTTGGGAATTTTCATGTATTTTTAAATATACTAAGTGACATATAAATCCGAACACCCAGTTTAAATGGTTTTATTTTAATAAAAGTTGGTGAATGTATTTATCTTACTGTAAATAACAAA